CCTTCCTTCCTTCCTTCCTTCCTTCCTTCCTTCCTTCCTTCCTCCCTTCCCTCCACCGTACATCAGCTGAACCCCCACTTTACGCTAGGCCCTGAGCTAGGCCTCGGGATGCCTGGTCCAGTGAGGGAGGAGGGAGAGAGAAGTAAATGAGCAGGCTGTAGGGCCACACAGGGGCCGCACAGGTTGAAGGAAGCTTCATGGAAATGTGACATTTAAGATGAGTCTTGAAGGGTCATAGGCGTCGGCTACGTGGCAAAGGGGATAGCAAGAGCAGCATCCCCGTGGTGTGAGAGCGTGAAGATGCTGAGAGCTGGCTCGTTGCTAGTGTGGCCCTGAGCCCGCTGTGGAGGGAGTTGGTGCTGGCAGGTGAGCTGGGGAAGTGAGGAAAGGCACGATCGCAGAGGATGTGGGGAGCCATGCAGCTTTGCATCTATCCCGAGGCTACAAAGACTCATGGGTGCTTTAACGGGGGCCGGACTTGCTCACATTTGCAGGGCTGCCCTGGCATGGCAAGTAAATGGAGGGAGACAGGGCGGCAGAAGGGGGGAGCACTCCTTGGGGAGCAGGGGTTGTCGCTTCTACTTGTAAATGTGGAAGTGGAACTTTGGTGAGTTGTCAAGCTCACACAGGAGGCTGTAGACCTGACTTTGAGCTGTTGGTCCAGTGTTTTTCCCAAGATCTTAGTTTCCATTACCCTTTCTCATGGCACATGGGCTTCAGGCATATGTATAACTTACTCTGCTCTGTGCCTTCTTACCCCATGCCTTTGCCTCTTCAATACTCTTTTCCTGGAATACCCAATGACCGTATGTCAGGGCAGACCCCAGTCACCTCTGAGTGCCTGTCTCAGAGGCTGCCTCTTCTAGGTCTTTACTGATGCCCCCCGTGAGTGTAAGCTCTCCTGATGCCGGCGGTAGTTTTCCTAAACTCTATTCTGTCACTTACCAGGCACTGCTTTGTTTAGGTGACTCACCTTCAGGACTCACACACAGATTCCTTTAGCAGTGGTGCTGGAGGTCATTATGTTGAATGACCTTACAGTGTCCCCTATCGTGGCCTGTTCACTTGGGCTAAATGCTGTTTCCTGAATGAATGGGTGGACGGTGCCCTGGGAGGGGCACTTCTCTCTCTGAGACAGGAGGGAATGGAGAAGAGCAGATCTTGAGGGCTGAGGAGGGATGCTGAGGGGCTCAGCAGATGTCCTCGTGCATGTGGGAGGCAAGGTTTGGGAGTGAAAAGAGTAAGCTTTGGTGTCAGCCCAACCTGGGTTCAAGTCTTTGCTCTGACACTACTGGCTATGAGAGTAAGCTGGGCGGACTTAGGGGCTCCAGGAGAGCAGAGGGCCTGGAGGGACATCAATGGGAACACATGGCAAGTCCCCAAGATGAAGTAAGGTTGCCAGCGGTAGTGCGGGCACAGCTGAGGTGAGAGTGGGTGCTCTAGTACGCTGTGACTTCTCTCCCTGGTGTGGGGATCTCGAGTGACTGTTGACTGTTTCCCCAGAGCCCGATGCTGGATGGCCAAGCCCCCATGGAGGCTGGGTGTGCAGAGGAGGGCCCTGGACCCAGGATCTTCAGAACAGAGCCGGGAGACTCACTGCAGAGGCCTGAGGCCCAGCAGCCACCCAGTAGGCCAGCCTGGGCGGTAGGGGAAGAGAGTGGGGCGGTGAAGGGATAATTGTCCTGCCCCCAGATTCCCTGCTCCCCACATGCAGCTTGGGTCAGCCCTAAATGACTGATGGCGAGAGGCCACCTTGCCCTTTATCCCAGCCCCAGTGTTGCTTTCTGTTTCCCGTTTTGGGGATGAAGTGGCTCTATGGGCTTCAGGGGTGATGGGGCAGGGGGAGGTGGGGAGGTGCAGTGGGACAAACTCTGGCTGCAGCTCAGTGCCTGCCTGGCCCAGCAGTGGTGCCTCAGGGTGGAGCGAGGCTGGCAGGCAGGAGCCTGGCACCCAGACCCCGCTCTGCATCCCCCGCAGCCTCTTGGGCAGGGCGCTGGTGCTCCAGGCGGTGCAGCTGTGCAGTGCTGGGAGCCCTGGGGTTGCTGGCCGGTGTGAGTGTTGGCTTCTGGCTTCTAGGTCAGTGCTGGACCCTGTGGTGTCTGGGGAGGGACTGAGCACAGGGTGTGGGGGATGTTGGGAGGAGGAGCGGGTGTGAGCAGGTGCTAAGGCAGATAGAAGGGCCTTTCTTGTCCTCTCTGGATGCACAAGGGAGACAGATCAGGCTCTACACTCTAGTCTGACAGGGAGAGGTGCAGGTGCTGGGATGGATGATCTAGGGAGGCCCTGCTCACATTTTGTCTAGAAATCCTTTCCAGGCAGAGAGGAGACAGCAAGTGCTGTGCCTCTCATCAATGTGTTAGGCGGGGCCTGCCTAAGGCAGGGTGGCCGATGGGGAGGCCCTGGCAGCTGCTTTTGCCTCCCTCCGCCACATGTGCCTGGTTATGTCCCTTGGCGCCCCTGAGGGAATTCCAACCTTCCCCAGCCTCTCTCTGTGACCCTCTCCTGTGCTTGTGCTCTGAAGGGCTGTATCCGGGGCCAGCTGCCTCTCAGCTCATCCCTGGAACCTTGCAGGATGAGAAGACGACTTTGAGCTGCTCAGAGGCCAATGGCAAGGAAGCCCTGCCCCCCTCACTTTCCAGAACAGGTGGGCCACACCCCAAAGCTTGGAGGCTCCCACCCCAGCCCTGGGCCCCCTCACAGCTCTGGGACCCCCACTTCTGGCTGGGGCAAGAGGACCAACATGAAGGGCTCTGACTTCCCTCCCACCCATCTGTGTCTCCTCCTGTGTGACGGTGGTGACATGGTCCAGCCCTGCAGAGCTGATCTCTGATTTGGGGCTGTCAGCACTCCCTGGGGACTGTTTTGATCTCTGGCTGTGGCATGGCCAGGAGCCCAGGCTGCTGGAGGGATGGCAACTTGATGTTTAGGGCAGAGTGAGCCAGAGTGGAGGGACAGGAAGCCAGCGTGTGATGGGCAGGGGTCTTTGCCCAGTGGCCACCTCGAGGTCTGGGAGCATCACTACACATTGCCTCCCCCTCCCCCCAACATTGTCCTCTCCTCTTGAGGTAACAGCTGAGGATCGGAGGTATCAGGCTGCTGAGGGTGAGGTTAGGATCAGTTACAGAAGGTAGAACTTGCTTGGAGCCTGCCTTTATAGTTGCTGTGTGGCTTTGGGAACGTTACTTCTTTGAGCTTCCTGTTCCTTCCCTATGAAATGGAGATAAAATATTTACATGAAGTTTTAAGGATAATACAAGCTCATACATAACAGAGGTTAGCACAGAGCCTAGAAAAAACAGAAGCCCAGTAAATGGTAACCATCACTAACACTGTCACAAGACATGAACTTGGTCCTGGATCATCACTTGCAGGTTCTGTGACCTTGGGCGGGTCTCTTAACCTCCATGCCTCAGTTTCCCTCTGCAGAATGGGGAGGATGGTGAGACTCACCCCAGGGCTGCATGACACTCAGTGAGGGAACACATTTGAAAGCACTTGGTTAAAACACAAGGTTGAAATGCTGCACCAATAGGGTTATTTTGTTCTCAGAACCAACCTGTGCCTAGGAGCAGAGAGCCTGATACTGGGCGACCCAGACACTGTCGTTAAGGCCTCTGAAGATTGACAGTGGCCTGGCCCAGCTGCCCTGCCCACCCCATGGCCCTCCCCCCGGCAGATGGGATGCAGCTGTCAAGCTCGGCTGCAGTGTCTTTCAGAATAAACACGGAGGACTTCCTGCTGGAGGTGCAGGTGAGGCCCTTGCCGGGCTGGCTCCTGGTCTGCCGCGAGGGCTGGAGCCCCGCCCTGGGGGTGCGGATCTGCCGGAGCCTTGGGCACCTCAGGTAACTGGGCCTGGGCCTGGGGGCCGGGGAGGGAGGAGAGCTGGCTGCATCTCCGTAGGGTTGGAGACCTCCATCTCTGCAGTGTCCAGCGTGCTCAGGGAATGGCAGCAGGTCAGTTTGGTCCCTCGTGGCCTTGGGGCACGATGGTGCCCCAGCTGTGTCTCTCTCTGGAGCACCTCTGCTGTTTAACAAACAAGGGTTCCAGAAGAGGCCGTTGGCACAGCCTTGCTCCTCAGCTCGTGCAGTTCCAGCTAGTAAGCTCCCTCTCATGCTGCCGCTTAAAGTTGTTTCCTCCTGTTCTCTTCTCTCCTTCTGCCAAGACTCACTCACCACAAGGGAGTGAACCTGTCTGACATCAAGCTCAACAGCTCGCAGGAGTTTGCTCAGCTCTCTCCTGGACTGGGGGGCCTCCTGGAGGGGGTGTGGCAGCCCAGGTAGGGCTTCTGAGGAGGTTGATTGGGGTCCCTTACTTCCTGGGGAGCTGTCCAGCAAAAGTCTTCCTGTCATGGGAACAGGAAAGTGGTGAGGACATTGCTGTGTAAGATAGGATAAAGGAACATTTCCTGATCAGAAATGACAAACTCGGTTCCACGAGCCTGCCCATCCGAGTTCACAGTTATCCTACCTGCCCCTCGCAAGGACTGCAGGATGGGTTGTTCTTGTCACAGGATTTCACACTGTACTCTTGTTCCCACTTTACAGGTGGGGAAACTGAGGCTTGATGAAGTAAAGGGCCTTGTCCAAGGTCACAGAACTAATAAGCAGCCAAACCAAGTCTTGAAACCAGGCTCCCATCTCCCATCTGAGTGCTCTCTCATCCCTGCCACATTTTATTTGGATAATTCTGGTTTCTAAGGAAACAGTTCTTGCTCTGGCTAAGAACTGCTTGGAGCCTAGAGACCCTCCAGAGAGGCCCTTCCCCCAGTCCTGGGCGTGGGCACCAGCTGAGCGGGTCTTCACTCCGCTGGGGCTTCCTCTAGCTGCAGGCAGCTTCCTGGGCTGGCTGGCTGAGCATCCCATCACTGCTCTGGAGCCTTGCACCCTTGCACCACCTTTCCCGAATGCTTCCTTACCTTAGACACCTGAACAGGCCCAGGGAGGTGGGGGTGGGACTGACTCTGCCAGGAGCCAGAGGGTCGTGGGTGTGGGGAACCAAAAGAGACTAAGAATCCAGGCACTGGGGGGCAGGGGAAGAGACAAGTGAAGAAAGAAGACGGTTTGGGTCCGAAAGGAACTAAGGTTTGTGCTAAGGAAAACGGGGGTGGGCATGGGGGGAAAGGAGAACAGGGATGTGGAAATGCAGGGCTGGGGAAAAGGCTTGGGATAGAGACTAGAGTAAGCCTAGCAAGGAGCACTGGGGAAGAGTCCTGTTCACTCACAAGGGGCTTATGCATCCATCACCGAATGCGCATTTCCCCAGGGCCACTCAGGGCAACAGCTGGGCTTTCTCATTTAATACTTTGACTTGAAACTTTGGACCTTCCCAAATCAACCCTTGAGGGCACTAGTCCGGCTGGTGCTGGGGCCATCAGGCACTGTGCTCACCGCTGTCCTGGAGACTGGTTACAAGGAGGGTCTGGGAGTTTGGGGGGCAGCAGATGGCTGTGGCTACGTGAGAGGCCCCCTCTGAGCCCACCTTTCCACCATGCCCTTGAGTGGTGCTCAGGCTCAAGTGGGCCCCTGCCTGGTCTTGCTGGTGCCTCTGTTTTGCAGGGACAACTGCACTTCTGGCCAGATCGTTTCCCTCAAATGCTCTGGTGAGTCAGGTCTTGGATCCAGGAAGGTAGCAGTGGGAGGAAGGAGTCTCTCCCCACCCCCACTCCCACCCTGAGTGTGGAAGAGTCTCCTAGGGAGGCTCAGCTGGGTCTGGGGCAGGGTTCCTTGTCCACCTGCCCATCTGCCTGATGGGCCCCTTCTTGAAAGCATGGTTCTGCCCAAATAGAGCCCTAAGTCTCTTTCATGTCCTCCACTAGCCACAGGTCTGGCAGGTGATCTTGCTTCACCTGCCTTGGCCTCTGGTGCTAACTCCCCCTTTCTTCTGGAGAGCCCAAAAGGTGGAACTAGTACCGGCTAGTACCCAGTTAGCAGCTCAGGAGACTAAGGAGGGTAGGGACTGGGGCCAAATGGGAGGCAGCCTTTGCATTTCCTCTCATCTGTCTCCCATGCATCTGTCCATCTCTTGGTCCTTTCTCGCATCCATCCCACACCAACATTTGACAGGCACTTTGTTAGGTATGGGGCTCTATAGGTAACACAGCCATGGTCCCTGCTCTCAGCGAGCTCAGGGCCTGAGGGGCCAGCAGATGTGTAATCAGCATTTCCACTTCCCAGTGCCCTATCCTCAGGACAGGGAATAATGAATGAAAGCCGTCCACACTGGGCCCCACTCCCCGGGAGTGAGAACCATGCTGACACCGGCTCCTTCCTTCCCATCTCACCGGTGCTCCTCTGTTGCAGAGTGTGGTGCAAGGCCCCTGGCTTCCCGGATAGTTGGTGGGCAGGCCGTGGCTCCTGGGCGCTGGCCCTGGCAGGCCAGTGTGGCCCTGGGCTCCCGGCACATGTGTGGGGGCTCCGTGCTGGCTCCACACTGGGTGGTGACCGCTGCACATTGCATGCACAGGCAAGTCTCGGGGCTGCTGGGAGGACAGTGCCTGGTACCCCTTCTGTTTGACTCCTGGTACCTCCTGTATAAATGTCTGTGCCCACTGTCTGCCTCCCATGTCTGCTCTGAGTGGCACAGTGGTGTCTGTGAAATTTCACCTGTTCAGTGCCAAGTACAGCTCTGCATGAGCAGCAGGAATTACATAAACACCAGTTCTTTATACTTGTTCAGCTTCTAAGTTTTTGAAATGCTTTCACTCACGGCGCCCTATGCTTCTTAATGTTTCTCACACTGTAATTAAGTCTCTTTCCAGGTAATTATTTAACATCTTTCTTCCCCTCTAGACTGGCAGCTCCACGGGGCAGGGACTCTCAGTCTTGTTACCACTGAACCCCTTGTCGGTCTTTCCACTGCCTTGTCCTTGTCCCCATGGTCTAGAACAGCCCTGGAATACAGCAGGTGCTTAATAAATACTGGCTGGGGCAGTGAGCGGTGGTGAGAGAATGAACTCTTGGTGGCAGGTCAGACAGTGTCATTCTCATGTCAGGATGAGAAAACTGCTGCTGGGAGAGGGAAGTGACTCCCTCTGATTACCTGTAGTGAGTGGAGAAGCAGGACTGATGACGTTTTTAGGACTCGGTTTAGTTATGATATCACACAAGGTCCTTCGATGTTTCTTGTAAAGCTTGGAGGAGGACTATGCAGGTGGTAACTGCAGATGACTCGCTTCTCTATGCATCAGTTCTTGAGCATTTCTTAAGCACCTACTGCACACCCAGTGTCTTGCCAGCTGCCAGGATATACTAAGAAGCATGGGTTCTGGGAGCTTGCAGCCTGGTGATGGGGCCCCCACTAAGAGCCTCTCCGTCGAGCTCCTCCACCTGCCACCTCACAGTCAACCTCCTCCCCCCTTCCTTCCCCGGGCTCAGTGTGGCCCCTGTGTGCAGTTTCAGGCTGTCCCGCCTGTCCAGCTGGCAGGTCCACGCGGGGCTGGTCAGCCACAGTACGATCAGGCCACACGAGGGGGCCGTGGTGGAGAGGATCATCCCCCACCCTCTCTACAGTGCCCAGAATCACGACTATGACGTCGCCCTCCTGCGGCTCCGGACACCGCTCAACTTCTCAGGTGAGGCGCTGGGCCTGGGCCTGCAGGTGCGGGCTGAGGTGAGGGAGGAGCAGACTCAGGGAGGGCGGGAGTGTGGCTGGCTTCTCAGGTTTCCTCCTAGTGCTGTAAACCTTAAGGTATCCAGTTCACTTGGTGGCCGCAGTGAACTTCCCCAACAGCTGGACCTGAAGTTGCACCGACTCTTCCACATGCTCTTTTGGGGACACAGATCTGGCCCTTTGCACCCTGGGCTGCGGTTGGATTTGCCTCAAGGTCCCCAGCAGAGCTCTGTGGTCGCTCCATCTGCCAGGTCCCAGTCACTTTGTGGCATCTTACAGTTGCTAAGATTTCTTTTATTTTTCCAAATATTCTTTCACTCATTCCTCATAACAACCCTGACAGGTAGATGAGGCAGGAATATACAGATAGGGCCCCGAGTTTAGTGAGGGAAGTGACTCGAGGGCCAGGGCTTCTCCTCCAGAGCATCTGTGTGAGGAGGGCCATTCCTCAACACACACGTGCCTGTGCACACTCAGGCCCATGCTCACACTCCCATGCACACAGGCTCACACCATGCACACTCATGCACACTCATCCCATGCACACACGCTCACACCGTACGCACTCGTGTGCACACACCGACAGATACTCAGCACTCCTCCCTCCCTTGCTACTTGTACCCTTGGGTTTCCTGAACAGGTTTTGCTCTATGCCTTTCACACATTTATCACATCTGGGCACCCTCTGAGCTGTTGTTCAACAGTTAACATTTCTAAATTGACTTAAATGTATTTGAGAGGGGAACTTTAAATGACTGCCTGACTGGAGAGGCGATGTTACAGTAAGTCGGTCACCACAGAGCACACGGTGAAACAGCAGCGCTCCTGTCCCAGCCAGGCGCTGCCAGCCGGGCCGCGGCCGGGCCCCTCTCTGCTTCCATGGAGGCTGATGGGCACTGAGAGGCGCAGAGGGCCTGGAGGAGGCCGGGGAGGGAACTGCTCTCTCCCCAGGCGACTCCCTGTTTACTTAATGGCAGGCCTGTGCGCTAGCTAAGAACACGTGTGGGCTCCACCTGTAGGACGTGTCACACACTTTTGGAAACAATGCCCCAAGAAAGACAAAACACCCTGGGGAAAATCCAGAATGGTCCACACTAGGACAAGTTGGGTACAGACACCCAGGAGAATTTCCAGCCTTCCTCAGCCCATATGGCAGGAGACAGTGTGTGTATGTGTGTGAATGAGTGTGTGTCTGTGTGTGTGCAGACTACACAGCCCTAGAGGGCGCTGTGTACACTGCACTCTACACATTGTCCTCTGTGTGAGCAGCAGCCCTCAAGGTGGTACAGTGCACAGCCCACAGGGCTGTACAGGAGGCCTGGCTGGTGGAGACCAAGACCCAGGACTGTTTGAGAAAGGGGGGGGATCTGCCAGCCCTGGCCTATGCTCAGCTCCAGGGAGGCATCCGAGCCTGAGTGGGGCCCAGGACATGCCTCTCCACAGACACCGTGGGTGCTGTGTGCCTGCCGGCCAAGGAGCAGGATTTTCCAAGGGGCTCTCAGTGCTGGGTGTCTGGCTGGGGCCACACCGACTCCACCCGCAGTAAGTCAGCTTTCGGGGCCTCGGTGCAGGTGTGGGGTTGGGGGTGGAGGGAGACATCCTTTCCAAGGTGAGGCGTCTCCACCTCCCCTGGCCACAAGGTAGTGCCAGGCCCCTGTTTCCTCCAGCATCAGCCTTGACCAGGCCTAGGGGCCCCAGTCTGCCTGTCTGGATCTGAGAGAGCAACCCCTGGGTTTCCCCTAAACCCTGGCCCTATACTTTTGCTCCCCTTATCCCATAGTGCCAAGGCTTCAATTTTCAGGGTGCACGTGTGAGTGAGCTCTGCACCTCCTCTTTACTCCCAGCCCCCAAGTGGGCAGACCCTGGCTGCCTTGCCCACCCCGGGCTCTCCTCTTTGGGACTCCGTGTCTCCTATGCCTCTAAACACCTCCCCTCTCGCTGCTCTGTTTTCCTGGGCCTTGCTTTGTGCCTTGTGGCCTTTTGCCCCCTGCAGCCCACAGCTCAGACTCGCTGCAGGACACGGTGGTGCAGCTGCTCAGCACCCAGCTCTGCAACAGCTCCTGCGTGTACAATGGAGCCCTCACCCCTCGCATGCTGTGTGCCGGCTACCTGGACGGGAGGGCTGACGCCTGCCAGGTGTGGTAGCAAGGGGGCCCAGGAGGAGGGTGGGGCAGGGGTCCTCCTGGGGCTTGGTCCCTGGTCTGATCAGCCTCTCTGGGAGGGGTGAGCCAAGCTGGGATCCATACTGGAAGCAGGGAGGGCTGGAATGGAGGGTCTGCTCCTGGAGAGGTCTGGTGCCCCTCCACCTGGAAGGACTGACTGCCTATTTCTCTGGTCTCTGTGCTGGGAATCCCCAGGGAGATAGCGGGGGCCCCTTGGTGTGCCCAGATGGGGGCACCTGGCGCCTTGTGGGGGTGGTCAGCTGGGGCCAAGGCTGCGCAGAGCCCCAGCACCCAGGCGTCTACGCCAAGGTTGCTGAGTTTTTGGACTGGATCCAGGACACAGCGTGGGTGAGTATGGGGGCCAGGGTGGGGAGGGGAGGTTTTTAAAGGACCTGTCCCTCAGCAACTGTGGTCATGACCCTTACCCTTAGGCCTGGGCCTGGCTGGGGGCTGGGGAGGGGCTAGAGAATGTTTCCCAGAGTAAAGGAAATGGAAATGATGCATATAATGCTGAATCTGTTGCGTTCCTGCCCATTTAAAAATGCACTGGCTGGGGAAGAGCAGATTTGAGTTTGTGCTGTAGCCGAGATCTGCCATTTACTGGGTGGCCTGTGGCAAGTTCCTAACTTGGTAAACCTCAGTTGCCGGGTAACAGCCGTCAGGCTCCCGTGCATGCTACTGAGGTGATTAAATGGGTAGGACTGGTACACGGGGCACAGTGCTCGGTCAGAGTGAGTGAACCTTGTGTTGTCTATGGATGTATCACTCGCCCCTGGTTCCTAGCACCCACATTCCCCACACTGCGGAGGGAGCTCAGCATTTAGCAATTTGGGTTTGGCAAATAATTCATTCTTGTGTGATAATGGGCAAGCCACTCAACTTCACCCGCTCAGAGGGAGGGCAGAGTGAGCTAATGTGCATAAAAACCTGTACCCAGTACTTTACAAGTGCAGGTGTGTGAGGAAAAGCATCTTTCTGCGGGCTGGACATGGGGTGGGTGATAGGTGATAAGCTTTATGGATTACAGGGGACATATGCATCCATCTTCTCATTCAAACCTTACAAAAAACCCAGAGAAGTGAATATTGTTAGCCCCACTTGACAGAAGTAGCAATGAAGGTTCTGAATGATTAAGCGACTCGCTAAAGTGAAAGTTACTGGGCGGAACCAAACTGTGGACCCAGCTCCCTTCTCTGTGAGCTCAGGACTCTCTCCCCAGTCCTGTGTTTCCTCCTCACTGCATAGCAGCCTCATGTTTCTGGGGGGCTCTGGCAGGTCCACTAGATGGAGAAGAAGCCGACCCCGATGCAGAAAGAACGGATCTCCTATCACTGCACAAGACACAGTCGCCACCACTGGCAGCCTCCAGCTGCAGGGCCCCCCCTGGGGGACCTGATTTCTAGACCCTCTACCTCACTAGAGAGCCCCAGTGACAAGAGGAGGGCTGGGCAGCTTTGGGACCACGGGGAGCTGATGGACATGGGAGGAGCTGGCGAGGAAGAGGCTGCTGGAAGCAACGGGGAGGCTGCCTTCTGCCCTCTCCCCTCCCCAGCCCCTGTGCCCCTCCTTTGGGAGGGTGCTCAGGGATACCTGGGCCTACCTTCTCCCTGTGCTCTCAGGTGGGATGGGGGGCAGTGCCTCCCTAGAGGCCCCTGGCTCTGGAGGCCCCTGGGAAGATGGGGTCAAGGCTGGGCCAGCCCAGGTTAAGCCCATGGAGTCGGGTCCTCCCCACTCTCCACGGTGGGTCTCACCTGCTTCCTGTTCTTACCGGCTATGGCTGGGGCAGGGGTAGGAGTGGGGACACTGGAAGAACCCTCTGGTTGGTGCTGGAATAGGGTGTTGGTTTTAAGTGACTGTTCTGTGAACTAGTTGAAGGAGTTCTTTCATTAAAGCAAAGTGATGTATGGTCATGGCTCTCTCTCTCTCTCTCTCTCATATTAACAGGCAAAATTACAATTTTCCTTTCACACATGTTTCCTAAAGCTCTGGAACTGCTCCTCTCTCTAGACTCCTGGCATGTATTAATTTGTTTAATTCTTTACATTTGTTAAGCCCGCATGTCATGATGCTGCAGCAAAAAGCCCCAGCCGCCCAGCCACCTTGGTGCGAAGCTGCTGCACTTCTGAGAAGCACTTAAGTCACTGCCCCAGGGAGGCCTGGCTTCCCCACAAGACCCACCTGTCCTTCGTAGCTCTTAGCTCCTGCTTCAGAACTGAGCCTTGGGGCTTGGGGGGGATTTCTTTCCAAGGTTATCCAGTTATACTCAGCACTTTCCTGGTTAAGCTTCTCTGGACTCTCCTCTCCAGCAATTGAAATGCAATTGGCATCTTGTTTCTGAAAACTGCAATGGATTTTTATGATGCTCACCCAAGGAAGTGCAATTAGCATGTGGCAATAACACAGTTTCCGTGGGTTTATCAGCATCTTTAAAGGGGTGGTAGAGATGATTATGCATTCCTGGAGGCTCTCTTCCTTTGCATGAAGTACCCTGAACAAGAGCCTCTGTGTACTGTTGCTGTTACCTGGGGAGAGGCTGCCGGGTCGGCTGGCAGACTGCAGAGACAGCTGGGAGGCCCTGGCAGCTGGCAGGCAGCCACCGTGTTCACAGGGGCCGGACCTCCAGCCTCCCTGGAGGTCAACATGGACCACCCACTCTGGCAGGTGCCCACCTCAAGGCAGTTTCAGGGCAGCCGATCCCCTAGGCAGGGAGGTGTCACCATCAGACCCATCAACTATGATCTTATTTCTGTTTCTAATGTCAGGTTACATAAGCATTTGCTTGTTTAAGGGGGGTGTTTATCACAGTCAATATGACCTGTTAATAATTGGTAACATTTGAATACTACTTCACAGTTTATCAACCCTGCTCACATGTGGTATCTCATTTAAACCTCACAATATCTGCATGGTGAAGATATTGTGATTGTGCTGGTTTTGCAGGCAAGAAAATTAGTTCAGAAAGATTAAGTGTCTTTCCAAGGCCAGCCAGCCAGCAAGTACCAGGGCCCGAATGTGAATCAGGTCTTTTTACTCCAGATCCACATTGCTGTCTTGCACATGGATTAATGAGAGGGTCCAATATTGCACAGAAGTGTAAGATTGGAAGGAACTTTATCACCTGGCATAGTCACCTGCCTACAGTAATACTTTTTATAGGTCAGGCAACCAAAACCCCGGGAATTAGTGCCTCCTGCCCGAGACCCTTAGGTAAGGTTCTTACAGATTTCCAGTACTCCGTGGGATTCAGTATCTGACTTAAATGTTACAAATAAGCTTCTTCCACAGGGGGGTGAAGAGAACCCTAATTGGAGACTTTGCTAATAGTGATCCTCTGTTTGCCTATAGGAGATCCTGCCAGGGGACTAGGCAGGTCCACAGACTCAGAGGCCCTGGCCTGCCCTTCCTTGGTGGCACCTGCCTCCCCAGCCCTTAGGAAAGTGAGAAGTGGGTGCATTCCTGGGCCGGCTGCGGGAGTACAGGGGTGGAGATGTGGGCATGGAAAGGTGAGGAGATTCAGGTCCAGAAGGATTTTAATGAGGACCAGTTGGGTGCCCAGCTGTGTTAAGCTCTGCAGGGAATTCAGAGGTAGAGAAACCGACTGCCTTATCTGAGCAAAGACACTTATTTGCAATAAATTATTAGTGGCCAGCCAGGCAGGAAGCTGCGAGGTGTGGCAGTAAATGCTAAGGGAGCTCCAAGGGCCTGTGTGCGGGAGGCTGTGCTCTCTTCCTCGAGGACTCAGCTTCTCACCTGGGCACAGCTGGCCAGCCTCCAGGAGCTTTCCAGGGAGGGGGCTCCCGACTGTAGTCCTGCCTAGGGTGAGCCCTTCTCTCTTCGGCCCCTCGGTGCTTTTGGGGTCTGTGGGGTAGTGGGGTGCAGGCTCTCTCCCTGTTAGCTCTCCATGTGGTCCTGCTTTTCCTAGAAGGGCTGCTGGGACAAAGGGGGTAGCCTGTTGTTCCTTTGGCCGTGTCTCAGGCTCTTTTCTGCATTTTGGTTTTGAAGTGCTGGGCTCTCCCACAGTATGGCAGATCTGGAAATGCCATAAATACTAAAAGCTGGGACAGTAGCTATCAGGAGACAGTTCTCCTGAGTCTCCTCACTGTTCTCACTCTCCTCGGCCCTCTCCTGGCCCTGCACTTAGGACCCAACTGTCTACTCAAAGAGAGCCCACCTACACCGATTCCCACTGCTCCTCAGCATCCTGGGTCTGGGTCCCTCCTCACCTCACTGTCAGACACACTGGGACTGTGTCTGCATTTGCCCCACCCTCGGGCCCTGCTTCCTGCCAAACTGATTGGAGCCAAGGAGGACTCTGTAAACTGCACCTTAACCCCCCACCTCTGGGAAGGTCTCTAATGCACAGGTGGGAAATAGCCTCCCACTCCTGAGGGTGAGGCTGGGAGAGGGAGAGGCAGAGCAGGTGGGCCCTACTGCCCAGATTTCCAGCATCCGGAGGCCCCAGGGCAGAGCAGTCTGGGGATCCGCTGGACGGTTTCACCTGGAGTCGGTGCTGGAGCGGACCATGCTGGGGACTCACAGGATGGTGAGAGGAGTCCTGGCTCCAGAGGGCACAAGTGGCCTCCAGAAGGCAGGGGATTTCACAGCCTGGGCTGGGCTTCCGAGCTTCCTCTCTCCCAAGGACCTTGTGGCTGTGGCCTCTGATGGTGGAGAGTCCTATCTGGGGCTCTAACCACTAGCAGATGTGCTGCCCTGGGCTATTGACTAAGCCTCTCTGGAGTTTGGTCTCCCACCTGTCAAATAGGGGGTCTGGGTCAGGTGATCTCCCTGGGACCTGCCTTGTCAGGCCAGTGTAACTCGAACCTCCATTGCCTCTGGAGATATCTGTCTGCCCACAGCTTCCAGTCTGGACCCCATGGAGGGGAGCCTATTCCCCAGGACAGGCCTAAAGGAACACGCTGGCTCTGGGTTCAGGCCCATGCCAGACAGCACTCCCAGCTGCAATTCCTCCAGGTCTGCTCTCCAGGTCCTTGGGAGCAGGAGCTCCAGGCAAGATTTTAAAGCCGTTTCCCCCGTGTCCTTCTGCCCAGTGTTCGTGTCCTGCGAATGGTTAAGGACAAGTCCTGACCTGGCACTGCTCTCAGGTGCTCCCTGGCTCCTTCCCCACACCCCAGGCTCTGTGTGAGGCCTCGAGGGCCTCAGCTCCTTAAACCAGTCAGGGAGCTCCCACCTCCTCCCTGCATGGAGACCATGACACCTTCCTCGTGACTATTTTCCCTGGACAGCTCCTGAGCTGGCCAGAGGACGCCTCTGCTCGCCAGCCTTTCCCCACCCGTGAGGGAATCATGAGGGAAATTTCGGCTAGCAGACCATTAACAGGCAGCCTGGGTCCATGCTGTCCTTTGTCCCTGGCCATGTACCAGGCTCCTCTGGGAGGGAGGATCCTTCCCCACATCCCTGCAGGTGACTCCACCTTCCCTGTTTGACCAGGACTGTCCTGGTTTTAACACAGAAGGCCGTGTCCTGGGAGACCACAGTCCTGGGCGATGGACAGCGCGCCAGGCCAAGGCCATTGCTCCGCTTCTGTATGAAAGCTCTGCACAGCCCAGTGCCCAGGGCCTCCCCAACCCTCCTCCAGTCCGCTGGCCCACAGGAAGCCTGCCCTGGTGGCCCAGGTGGACGAGGTGAAGGTTCCTGGGAATTCCTGAGGCCTGGACGGCTCTGCAGAGGCTGTGACGTCAGCATGCTGCCTTAGCCCCAGGCCCACAGAGCCAGAATTCCTCCTTTCTCTCGGTGGCTCCTCAGCCGGCAGCCAGGGCAGGCACACCTGACCTTACCTTTGAACAAGCTGCTTTCCCAGGCCCGGAAGTAACCTTGCACTTGGGGGAGGCAGACACAGTGCTGTTCCCTGAACTGATTTCACAGTTCCCCAGGTCTCACTGATTTCTGGTCCCCAGAGCCTGGTACGGGGCTCACCATGGGACAGGTGCTCACTGAGCCCACTCGGGAGGAGGAGACAGGGGCTGCAGGCCCATGGAGCCGGGCCGCTCTCTTCCCTGCCTCTGCCTTCCAGAGGATCAGACAGGAGCACAGAAGAGCCGGGCAGACTGCTGGAGCCCACAGGGGTTTTGTGGGGCTTGTTTTCCTCAGCACTGTCTGCAAAGTGAAGCTGTGAGCAGAAGAGCGATGGAGGTTGCTGTTCCCCTGCTCGCAGCAGCCCTGTGTGTGCAGCAGATCGGAGAGGAGGGGCTGGAGCAGGTGGAAGCGACCCTCGGGGTCAGGGAGAAAGACAGACCCAGGACAGTCTTTCTGCAGGGACCCTGAGGTGGAGCTGAAGCTGGGGCTGGGAGGGTATATTTAGGCCAACT